CTCATGTTTATTAGCAAGAAAAATGAGCCTTTTCTATTAGTGTACTTCTGAACTGGAAGTGTGAAGTGTAGAGTTCTCTGCCATGTCCATCAGGAGTGAGTTGGGAAGAAGGATCCTCAGCAGAGCCCAGGGAGCTCTGACTGCACCAAGGCCAGAGTGGGAGTGCAGGAGGGAACATTTTGGATGGAGCTGAGAAGGGGCTGCCCCAGCCCCAGGAATGTTCCTGCTGTGCTCACTCAGCAATATGTGCAAGAGATGATAAGCCTTATCAAAAGACAGCACTACTATACTGGCAGATTTTCCAGGTTGGAGGTTTTTGTCTTTTGTCTCGCAGTGTTCGAGTGTAAGCTCAGGGTTTTCTGGTAGTGCTGGTAGTTATGTGGGTTTGAAAGGCTTAACCTTCACAAATTCACTCTACCCTTACTGTGTCCTGGTTACGAGATGATTCTTTTAAGTCATGAAATTCTTGATTAAAAATGAAATTTTGAATAAATTGCTTCCATGGTTTATTCTAGTTCTGTAGGACTGTGATCCCTGGCTCTGAACTCCCACTCTATTCCAGTGGGATCTTTTTAACAGACACCCACTGGGAGAAGGGAAAAATTACGGTGTCACTGGAGTAGAGATTTGTTTTGTTCTTTAGCAGAAAGTATTCCTCGAAGGTTTTCATATGCGTGAAAATGAACACACTGAACACTCGCATTTCTAGACAGAGGAAAAACTTTAGTTGTCCAGTAAAGCTCATCAGGGTGTTCAAAATGTCAAACTAAAAGCCCACTATGGAAACCTTTCTTCCTTCCTTGTTCTATTTACTAAATTTTATAGTGACCGAAGAGTTTTTGTTCAGTCCTGTAACAAGAGATTGTGGGGAACTTTTGTATATAAAAATAAACATTTTTAATGCTATTTATCTGTAAAGGAAAAGGAGGCTTCATATGAAACCTGTAACTTGAAGTGACGTTTTTTAACTTTAGTGGGTGATTTAAAATAACCATCATGGTTATCTATTACTTGCCGTGTTCAGTGAATCGGTTAATCCTTACAAGACTTCTGAGACCTTGATGTGTTATCAATTTACATGCTGCTATAATAGCTTTTATACTATAATAAAGTATGACTTATTTATCCTCTTTTAAGGTGATTTTAATAGGGTAATCATATTGGGAAGGAATATATAGCCTGGGGAAAGGTCATCTCAATTTGATTGTGTATGAAACAGATGAGTATTTTTTTCAAGGATGCAAATAATATTTCTGTACAACTTTCACAATTAAAGAGGTACTAATGACAATATTTCAAATCCCAGGTGTTTTTTGAGCCATGCTGTTGAATAAAGACATGACAGAAAGGGTAGAAAAAAAGCATTGCATGTTCCTACAGAGGAGCAAGGAGGAACCTTCAGAGAATAGTTGGACACGATAAAGATTGTATATTACAATGAGAGATGCTGTTTTCTCAAATTTAAAAGCTTTTTAAAATTCAGAAGCTTCTGTTGAATGAGGCAGTTTGCTTTTATCATCTTTTATACTTGCTCACTAAACAGACTAAGTTATTGAATACAAGAGCTTTACTCATACGCTTCAAAACATAAATCTTCCCTACTGGACAACTGTCAGAAGAGACTTCTTTGAGCCTTAAAAAAGCCATACTGTTGCTGGAGCTATCTTTTGTTTTAAAACAAACTTGCCTTTGCCTTTCAGTGTGATGATCCTGTAAAACAATTTTGAGATTGATTTCCTAACAGCCCCATAAGACTCTGCCTACTCTGGTTCCAGCAGTGTGTCAGAGCAGTCCAGGGTTCCACAGACTGTTAGCACTGTGATTCTTGGGATGTCAACTTGTGATGATCCAGTGCTTATTCTGTTGAGCACTGATCTGTTTGTATTGCCTAAAAATGAAAGCTGAGATTATTATTTATATGTCCCCAGTTTTTATGGCCTTACTCTATCTTCTTCATTATGATACAATGTGGAATTTCAAAATGGTAAAGCAAACATGCTGAATGATGCAGATACTGCTAAGGAATGTACAAGCAAAAAACCCCAGTCTGTTTACTTGAGCAAATTTAAATGCACAAGATTATTAAAAAGCATATATAAAGTATAAATGCTGGTGTTTAGATCTAAAGATTCAGATGGCGTGAGTGAGATTTCCCTGCTCACCTGCAAGTCTACTTGTAAGGTTAGTTAGTGCAAACTCACCTGTTGGACAAGTCATAGTAGAACCGGTCTCTGCTCCCAACCCGGGTAATTGTCTTGTTATTTATTAAACTAATAACTTTGGTGTGTTTTATTCTGTGCACTCAGAACTCACCTAGTTAAGGTTACATCAGAGACTGACCTCCATTGACAAGATTAAACTGAAGTCATTTTCTCTGAGAGCTCAGGTGGAGTATTTGTGTTGTCAGCAAACAGGACTTTATCCTCTTTCTCCTGGGCATTATCTCGAATGCAGTGTCAGAATGCCAGATGGATTTGCTTTAATATTTTTCTCCAATATTTAATAGTCTTCTATCACCTTTCAGCTGTCACACTCAATAATTTCCTCTGAAAAGAAGTGCCCAAAAGAAGCCACTGTTTAACAGCTCTGCTTTAAATGATCTTTTTCAGTAGTATTTTTGAGCTGTATGTATTACCTGATGTTTAACCCTTAGAACTTGTGGACTGTGTTAAATATGGGGTTTTTTGTGGGTTTCTCACTTGCAAAAAAAATCAGTAAACAAAAGCCAACCCCCACAGGTGAAACAGACCCTCTCCCCGCTCAGGAAAACAGTAATTATCCACAATACCAGGAGGACTGTTTTATGCTACAATTTGCTTTAAGCCCATGTCCTTAAGGACAAGAAGAAAAGCAGTTTGGAAGGAAGATGAAACAATTACCCTCACCCTAATGGAACTCAGCAGTCCAGGGACTGTGAAGAGAGAGGTGGATGGCAAGAAAGAAGTATCAAATACATAATTTTATTTATCACTGTACTGGCAGGAAATGGAATATCAGCCTTTCTTCCAGACTTAGATAGTGTCTGATCTATCATGGGAAGCTACACAACTTCTTCCCTGCTTGGAATTGGAGTAGCACTGCATTTTACAACAGTCATTAGTACATTGCTTAATGTTGGAAGGAATATTTTATTACTTAGTAAGATGGGAAATGAGTGGAATTTCAAGTCTTCTGCCATGTCTCTGTGGCTTTTGCAGAAGAGATAAGTAAAAAACTGTTGTACCATGTGGGTGGCAGGCATGCAGTGTAGTTCATGATCCATGATAAACCTGGATAATATGCAAAGATAAAGTTTCTCCCAAATAGGATGAGAACTGGTGTTTCTTAGGAATGATCATGTGTCTTCTTCCTTTTGGTTCTGGTATGACAGAATTCAAATCTGTAACAGTGACAATCCATCAAATGTGAGAGAAAAGGGAAGCATCTGAGTGGGTGTTGGATAATTGTAATAACTTCAGGTATTAGTTGAAGGCAGTACAAATGTGTGCTTTTTTTCTAGAACCTTAGGATTCAATAGCTGTATGTATTCATGAGGTGTATGCAGCAGACTATTTGGCTCATCTCAGTATAAACCTGTGGAATAACTTAAAAGTCAGATGTTTAATCATGTCAGATTAATTTCCGTTAAATTGACGTTCAAATACCGGTGTGTCTTTGCTGTGTGTGATTAATGGTAGGGGGAACGCTGAGTTTGAATATTTCTGTCATACACACAAGGTCCTCCAAAGCTGACATGCAGTGAGCTCCTTTGTTCTCTGCTTTCGTTTAAAATCCAAGTCGTGGGTTGCCCATTTTGAAAAACCAAAAGCTAAAAGAGCAGGGTAAGGAAAGCTGCTCTCCAAGTAATCTTCCATTTAAGATACTGTTTAAATATTCAAGCCTTTTAATGGAAGTGTGTAGATTGTAAGATTTTAACTGGCTCTTATTTAGTAGAATGAATCACACTAAGAAAGAGTCCTGTGAAAAGTCTAGTAAGATTTTGTACTTGCAGGTCTATTTTAGCTTTGCAAAGAGTGTATTTATCCTTGTACAGATTGTATCAATATGTATTATCTATGAATGCATAGATTTATGTTTAAATATTATAGGCATTTACTCTCAAATTGATAGTTAGGGCAGAAACTCATATTTAAATTAATGTGATTCTTCAAAGATGCTAAACTTTAGTCTCTTTAGGTTAAGAAACAAATCACAAACTCTTGCCAAGGGTTGGGGTTATTTAAGAGGTTAAAAAGTAGTCTGTACTGTTTGTTACCTTCAAAGCTTGCTAGAATTTCTAGTTAAACTAGGTCATAAAGAAATCCATAATTTTATCTAAATTACTTTTGCTTATCTGGTTATAGTTCCGTACAAAATAGGCCAAATGGTCTTCAGGAATCTTTAACAGAGAGACAATAATTTCTTTTTCAAAACAAGTCACTACTAAGTTGATATGTCCATATTAAAGTATGCATAATTTTACAAAAACAGCTATGATAATCATTTCTAAGATTCAGCATAAAGAAAATAATTTAAGGAAATGTCAATCAGTATACCTGGGGTAAGCAACTACAGCTGTAGTTAATATTCCTGTGAAGTAAAAACACTTTTAGTTCAGGAAGGCCTAAGATCAGCAATGATAGTAGTTCTTAAACTGGTGGAAATAAGCTCAACAGGGAGACCGTTAAATAATCATCCAGGAAAATATTTAAATCTAGAAAGCTTTGTATTAAAAATAGTGTACATATTATTTATGATCAGAGTTTTTGTTGGACTGCCCTTAATATTTTCAGGGCAGTCAGAACTGAGGTAATGTGAGGTTTTCTTGAAATGTATTGATAAATCTGTTTTCAGAAATGCTCGGACTGTGGAGGGAGTCTGAGGGATGGTAAAAATTTCATTTGCTACTATTGTAGGTGGAGATACATGTCAAGGTTTAATCAGTGGATCGATATGATAAACTATTCATATTTTTAAGCTGAATGTGTGTTCTGAATACAGACTGTGGGTTTCTGTTGTAGTATGAATACTTCAATGCCGTGCTCATAAATGAACGAGATGAAGAAGGAAACTATCTGGAGCTGGGGAAGGAGTTCATTCTGGTGCCAAATGACCACTTCAATAACTTGCCTGTGAACATCAGTCTGAGTGATGTCCAAGTACCAACCAACATGTACAATAAGGGTAAGAAAAAAAAGCTGTTTTATTAATCATTCTACTGGCTAAACTTAGGAACATCCTTGCTTTAAATATGAAGCTGTTGATTAACTGTGTATTATCTGTGTTTTCCAGTTGGCAATAAAAGTGAAATTTCAGTGGAAGAATGTTTAAAGTGTGACAGTTCTATAATATATTTTATCCTGTGGCAATTTAGCAATTTATTATGGTCAATGATTTGCATATTAGACTGTCATGAATTCTGCCGTGAAGTATGACAGATATCTTTATTCTTATGAATTGTTTTCCAGAATCTTCAAATAATTTGAACAGGGCTTACATTGCCTCTTAGCAGTTGGATTCTATCTGCACTGAGATCTGGATGTGTCTGTGAAAGACATAGGGTAGATGGGAGGGGAATGTTTTATTAGATTTCTGCTTTCAAGCTTCTGGGAATGTTTCTAGCTGTGTATGTTCTATTCTGGCTCTATACACAGCTGCTCTGAGTTTTCAGATAATATTTAGAAGGAATAAACTGCATTAAAATTTCTGCTCCCTTGCCTATTTACCATAGGTGCTGGATAGCACATAGCACTAACAAATAGCTACATTAGATACTAGAAGTGATGGACTTGGGTCTAAAAATTTGGAATGCAAACTCAGAGATGCTTAACTCATTTTCCATATGCCTTTTCCCTTTGATCAGAGAGCACAAAATTTTATTTTTACAGTGCTTGTACAGCACCTATCTATTTCTTTTTCTCAAGCCACTAATAAAAGAAAAATTAAGAAGGAAAGCACCAAAGTTTCCCAACAACATCTGCAGGATATTTGCCATTGGTCTGTAGAAGGCTGCCTAATCTCATTATCTGGTTCCTCTTCCCTGTTTTAACTATACTAAAAGACAGCTAAAAAGACATTAAATGCTTTCTTCATAATACATTCCAGGCCAGCAATTGTGGTAAATCATGCAAGGGTATTGTGTAATAACAATTGGAAGGAGAATTAATTCAGATAGGTTGGGCTGGTAGGAGAAGCAGTTGACATGGCAGTTTGTCTTCAAAGTTAGCATTCTGACTTGAGAATCTTGAGAAACCAAAAATCGTAGAGTAATGTCATGAACTAGGGACTGAAAAATAACAAAGCTTCCTAGAGATTACTTGAAAGGTTGTGAACTGAAGAGTGCAGGATATTTTGGAAAGATTTGGAAAATGCTTAAAGCTTCTAAAGATACCAGACCCCTTTTTTTGTGCAGGTGCTAAGATTTATTTAATCAAGCCTCTCTATAAATTAATTCATTCTAGAATTGCTAAAGAGGAAAAGAAATGATTGCATAGGTATATAAAGGTCAGGCAACCCCATTTTTCTCGAGAAGCAAACCAGCCTGAATAGTTAGTGAGAGCAGTAGAACTAAAGGAACTTCAGTTACGTGGTATGTCATAATGCTGTGTATAGAATATGTTTTATAGGCTGATTATTTATATTTAAAGACCAAAGTCAAAGGGCTTGTTGCATCTTGTTTTGGCCTCTAATACAGGGACTGTGGAAACGGGGAAGATGGAGCTCTGTGATGATTCCTGTTTCCACACCATCTAATTCAAACAATCTAAACTCATCACTTTATGCAGCTGCAGAAGACAAGCATTTTTTTGTCACTTAAATGCATTCCAACTGCAGAAATCTGGTTTGTTGCTGACATTTTCCTTGCACATGGACATGATAGTCTCGGTTTGGAGCCTGTCAATGTGCGGAAATGTTACTCTTGCCAAGAAGAGGACTGTATACTTCAATATTTTGTTGCCCAATTCTGTAATGCAGTGGGGTGATAACAAGTTAATCAAATCCTAGCCTGAGGGTACAGGCAGTAGATATTGATAGGTTTACAACTGAGTGTCTGCACAACACCATTTCTCTAGAAAAGGCCTGTTGTTCATTTCCAGGTTATGTTTTAATTTATTGAATTTCTAGGCAGAACCACAGCTCAGACAGCTTAAAACAGACAAGTGTGCTCTCTGAATAGTTAAACACAGGAATCTTGAGTTAGTATAGAAAAATAAATCTGCTCTCTATTTGTAAGTTAATTCTCAACTTTTTCTTTCATTTTTGTTTACTTAGTTTTGCAGATATTGATAATTTGCATTGGGTTCAGAGAAGAGGGACAGGACACACTGAAGAGTTGAAAATGTGGCTTAGACTAAAAGGCTCCAGGAGCTCAGTTCATTTAGCTTATTCAAGAGATGACTATTTTAATTAGTTGATCTGCAGTTAATTACTAATACCAGACTATAATCTGATTGCAACAGATTTTAGAAGATCCAGTGGCTGAAATTGGATTCCATTATTTTGCAAATTGCACAACTTTGTGCTCAGTTAAGTTTTGGGAAAAACTTTGGCCTGGTCAGCTGCACGATTACAGTGATCCCTCTCAGCTGCAGAATCCCTGGAGTGGATGGTCACAGCCCCTAACTGGGCTCTCAAGGAGTTAAGCTGAACAGTCATGGTACATAAATACCTTGCTATTCTTATATGTCTTCTGGCTCTTTCAGCCTCTTCATAAAGAAGCTTAAAAGCATTGATGGTAACAACAGGACTACCTAATTCTAATTCTAAGGATATATTTGAGTTTAGAATCTGAAAATAAAAAGCAAAAGTAGATTTCATTACATTTATGATGAAATCAAGAAAACTGAAGTACTACAAATATCAAATCTATGATATTAAAATTTAACATGGAACATTTTGAAAAAAAAAATAAGAGCCACTAAAAATGTCTGTCAACCTAAAAGTAACTCTAGTGCCATTTTTGATTACAGACTGTATGCACCTACTGTATGGTGCATAAACTATACTAATGTATATGGGAAGGTAAACTAGTGAATTTAGTAAAGAATCACAGCTTTGCATTTACAGCACTCTTGATCATCATTGTAAACTATAAAGGTGTGGTCTGGTTATTGATGTGCTTTTATACTTTTCATTCCCCTCTTCTGCACACCCTCGTTCCCTTCTTTCTGCATGTCTTACAGATCACATTGATTAATATAAAAAATAGAAAAGTTGCTGATCTTTGAAATATAAAGCCTACACAGCTCAGAAAACTATATTTTGACATTCCTATAATGTTCATATACTGGAGGAATTCAGAGCAAAGAAAAGTGGATGATGGTGCTCTACAGATAAGTGTATTTACCTGTCTGTCTGTACAGACATGCCTCACTTTAGGCCACTTTGTAGCAAAGCTGTCAGTCCATTTAAACTGCACAACATTCTCATGGAATTAGCTTCCTTCATTTTTTCCTGAAAATGACTGCTTATTATAAAGTTTTGCTTTTGAGATGTTTAAGCGTGCGTTGGGAGTCTAAATCTGTCAGTGCATTTTGTTTCTTCTCTCTGAGCACAAAAGTGTGTTTATTACCTGCAGCCTCACTGCCCGTAACCAAAGGATTTGCAAGGCAGTATGTTTTTAAACAATGAATAAATAATTAAGATTAAGAAAGTTCTGTGACAGCTGTCTTAGCAGACAGTAGCTCTTCCATCCAGAAATATGGCAAATTATCAACTGCATACAGACTTCTGACAGAAAGAAGCAAAAAGGTTTGTAGTGAATTAATCATATTCATATATTCATAGCTGAAAAAGGAAGGAAAGAAGTAAAACACTTTTTCTTTAGAAGAAAAGTCCAATTTTTGAAAGCACAGAACCAGTGTGAACCCAGCCTGGACAATGCAGTACCAAGGCAGAAATCCAGGTGTGAGAGCAGGTGTATAAAAGGCACTGTCTCATTCAGCTGTTTGGGTCTTTTTTTAGTCAAGTTTATTTATATAACAGCACAAAGTGAGTTCTCATAGCTCTTATTTTTTATGTCTCCCCTATTATTTTAGAATGTAAGTGATTTGGGACATGTCTCAGACATATCTTGCAAATATACTTCCACAGGTACACATTCCTGAAATGCTCATGTGACTTTCTACATGTCAGTCAGGGTATTTTAAACAGCTGTTGTGGAAGAGATTAGTAATAATGAAAAATGATTAATGATTTAAAGTTTTCATGGCTACAAGAATTGATTTATTATTTTATGAGATGCCAGTAAGTATATTTAGAAGAACCTAGGAATGTGACATATAATTAAAAAGCAGCAGTTGGAATGTGGGCTTGGCTATCTGGCAATGATCCACGGGGAACATGGCAGTAGGATTGCCACTGGGAAGAGTAGGATTCTATAATGGATTTATGTACACGAGGAGATGATAAAAGAAAACTAAAAACTAATCAGAAGACTCAAAACTGATCTTGCAGATATTGACAGCATATAGAAATAAAAGAAAAATAGAGCAGCATTTTGCCCTCTGTTAGTATGAGAATATAGGCAGCCTTACATTCTTAGTCCAAAGTATGTGCTGTATCTGAGATAAAGAACCTACTCCAGTCTTCTTTTTACCTAAGTCTATGTCACTTCATATTTACCCATAGTTATGTTGATGACATATTTCCTGCTAATGAGTTTGCAGTCAGCTTTTCAAGTTCATGGAAGAGGCTTATGAATACTTGGATAAATGTGGTTTTCAGTGGAATGTAGATGAAACCGAAGCCAAAGTGGGGGTGAATGTGTCTTGGTGACATACTCTCAGACAATTCTAAGATATGGCACCTGTTGAAAAGCAAAGTACAGTACCAGGAGTGACACACAGCAGGATCTCAGCTGCTTACGTCAGCATTGTGTGAAATCAAGGAAACACAGGAGGGAAATCTCAGTGTCAACTGAAAACAACTCCTGTTTTTGAGCTTTTGCACTTGGCCTTTGTTTATATGATAAGGTAAACTTTACATTCATTGTTTGCAGAAAGGGGAAAAGCCCAGGTTCCCTGCTTTTCAGTGCTTCAAACATTTCTAGACAAAAGCACTTCTCCTTCCCTTTAAACTGTCTTCCCCCGTACCTTTCTGTTGTTTCCCCTCAGGTCCTCAGATTTGTATTTAGCAAAATTTACTCTCTCATTCTCTTAGTGTTCTTAGTCATTAAAAAGAGC